AAGTCAGCACATGGTCTCTGAAACATGCTGCCCAAAATTGTCGTCCTTTTCCTTGACATGCATCACAATATCATCGGATGAGTGGGATTGCTGAAGAAGTGGTTCCACGTTTACTTTCTCTTCCACTGTTAGTAGTCTAAACCATGGGTCATTCTGCATGTACACTCTGCTGCATGGACGGTGATGCACCATTTTGGGAGAAGCATTTATGTATTCACTACAACGCAAAAGCACGCGAAATGAAGACGGACAATTGCAATATTCGGACCTTAAATATTCACCAAATCATAGTATACCTCTTCTTACGACTTGTTTTTCAGTTTCGACCCAGCTCTTCTACGATTCACTCCAAAAGTGCATTTAAAACCAACGTAAGCGCACTTAAATTTGCCATCCGGTAGTGTTTCGCTATAAATATGAACACAGTAAGCGCAGGACAACTACACTGTAAGCATTATATGACTTCCTCTCTTTTTGAAATTCTCCTAAGGACTTCTCAAATTCGTTCCAGCTGAAGAAACGCCTTCCAAGCAACAGTTCACCAAAAATTCCACTTAAGTCTGCGCTTTTCACTACCTGCAACGAATTAAAATGGATTTGTCAATTAGTATCAATCTATGTCACAACTATTCCAAGATACATTTATTCCCCTTAATGAATTTGAACAATGCAAGAACTACAGTTTTAGCAGAAGAGGAGTTTGAGTTACTTGAAAATATATTGAAGAGAAATGGGTATCCTCAAAGGTTCATCAACAAGTATGGAAGATCTGAAGTCAAAAGAGTAAAACATCACAGTGGAAAAAAAGCCAGTCTACCTTCAGCTTGATTATACAGGTGAAAATATTGCAGCGATGATCAACAGAAGGCTGAGTACATCACTAGCCATAGCGTATCCTGCAGCTAAGCTCATTCCCGTCTATCGAACAACTTACTCTTTGGTGCAATCGAAAATCGATAGATATCCTTCTCATGTTACCTCCAACTGTGTATACAAATTTACATGTATCTGCGGGAGCAGTTACATTGGAAGGACATAAAGAAGGGCATATCTACGATTTTCTGAACATGTACCAAAAAGCTTACGTCTAAAGGGAACAAATGCTTTAAATAGTGCCATCACCAGGCATCTTCTCGACACGGGTCATGAGGTGGACGTTGAAAAGTCGTTCAAAATTATCAATAAGCAAAATAGCTCAATTCTCCTTAAGTTTGCTGAAGCCATTTCCATCAAGCGCATGAAACCTGATTTATGCGTCCAGAAAGAAGCGGTTATCAGCCTTTCTTTGCCCTGGTAACTGGATAATTTCACCTCTCTTTCCTCCGAGTGTGAAATGCTAAAAGTTTCCATTGTGTTTGATTATTATTGTTCGGAATAGTGGTTAATATTGCATATTTATATATGTATATATTTTTAGTGTATGCGTATATTGATCGATTGATTTTTGTTTAAACTTAACTCTGTGCAAGTATGTTAAAATTGTTGTTGTAGATATATTTAATAATGTCTTTGCCATGTAAGCAGCTGACGAGAAGGCAACGAAATAAAAGATGGTACCATTTTATTCTGCTAAAACTGTAGTTCTTGCATTGTTCATATTCCAAGATAATTAGTAAAACACGACATTGAAATACATGAATGATCAATAACAACCAAGAAAATACCGCAAGCATAACCTGAATAACAGAAAAGCACAAGAACCCACCAGTCCGTTGACATCACAGGCAACTGATAGGCCAAACAACGGAGTGTATGACAAACCAAGCCTAGTACATGTATATGAAACCCGAAGGAGAGCTGCTTTGCTAAACTCTGACCACTGCACTATTCGTATTTTACCGAAAGTGTACGGCAAGTTACATCAAAAATTGTTTAGTCATTCAACAAAGAAGATACATGAACGTTCATATTCCTATGACAACATTCTAGCATTAAGAAGCATGTTGCATGATACCAACTAGGAGCTATTTACTGACGATAAGTTGGATGCTACTGTCTCTAATATAACCGATTATCTGTAGTTTTGTTTGAAAATTTGCTGTCCATATGAAACACTGTTTTTGAGATTTGACAGAATCTCTTCTGTGCAACTGAAAAAACTTCGAAGACAAAAAGAGAAGTTGTATAAGAATGATGATAATACTGGTGTCCGTAAAATAAACACCCATATAAAAATTGAAATAGAAAGGTTGAACAGACTATATAATGAAAAATTTCTATCATGTAAAATCCTTCAAACATTTGGAAGCTTCTCAATAAACTTTCAAGTAAAAAACAAGAGTCTGTTGATGCCTATTCTGATGTTAATGCTTTAAACAAATCATTTATCAAGAAACAAATTAATATGGTTGTACCTGATGTACCTAGTCAAGAAAATGGTCATTTTCCGGGTTTTAAAGAAAAGGATGTACTATTATGTTTGAAGTCATTAAATCCAACACACAGCCTTGGTCCAGATGGTGTACCAAGCATTCTTCTTCAAAAGTGTGCAGACATCTTGTGTCATCCTCTTACTCAAATCTTTAACGCATCATTTAACAGGGAAACGGTACCTGCTGACTGGAAAGAAATCAAGGTTGTACCTGTACAGAAATCATCTTCTGGAGCAGGTATAAAGTTTAGACCGGTCGCTATAAATAAATAAATAAATAAATTTATTCTCATGATACATTACATGAGGGACGCCAGTTTACAGGCATCATCTCCCTTTTTGAAAACTATGGAGAAACTTCTTTTGAATATTCTTAAACCTTCTTTAAAAGCTTTTAGTGATCCTAAGCAGTTTGCTTATAAGTGTGGAAGAAGTACATTAGATGCAGCCATTGTACTACAGCACAATATTGTTTCCTGCCTTGATAAGGGCGCTAAGTTCGTTTGAACAACTTTTTTAGACTATACTGCAGCTTTCGACTCTGTTCCTAGGACACTTTTATTAGGCAAGATGAATTCAGCACAAACAGAGTCCTGGACAACTAGATGGCTGTCTTCTTATTTTAAGGATAGGAAACAGCATACTGTTTTGGCTGGAAAGCGCTCCACTTCTCAGCTAACTGAAAGTGGTGTGCCTCAAGATGCAGTACTTTCTCCATTTCTTTTCTCTTTCTTTTGGCATGACCTTCCGAACTCACCCAAAGTTAACTTCATTAAGTATGCTGATGATCTGACCGTTTCTGTATCTGTAGTTTCCACATCGGATTGTTCCCATATGAATGGCTTCTTAGCTGAAGTTAAGGATTGGTCTGGCTCAAATGGTCTTAAACTAAATCCAACTAAATGTAACACTGTTGATTTCAGCTTGAGAAGTGAAAAAGACATGCATGGATTGATTCAATCTCATGATTGTTGTAATATTGATGGTACCATGATAGAGAGTAAGTCAAGTGTTTCTTATCTTGGCATTAGTTTCTCTTCAAACCTTTGCTGGTCGTCTCATATTCTTATAGTTTCTAAGAAAGTTTTCCGTCTGACTTATTACATAAAGAAGTTGAGACACTCAGGTATAACCCAATCTCTTATCATACAATTTATTAATTCATGTGTTTTGCCCATCATTCTTTATTGTTCTCCATTATTCTTCCCTGGGCTACTCAAGAAAGACCATATAATGCTACGAAGAACATTGAGGGCTGTAAGTAGGGTCAGTGCTATCCCTTTGACTCAACTAAATGACACTGTTGTCAATGGGCATATGAATTCTTGTAAACACTAAGCAAAAGTTATCTTATCTGATAGTGAACATCCTCTTTATTCACACTTGTTTCCTTGTATCTCTTCGGGTAAGACCAGAAGAAATTTTAAAAACATTTATGCTCGTACTACAAAATATAAAAATTCGACCGTGCCATATCTGGCAAGAGCATTGTGTGAAGAGACAAATATCAGAAAAGAACTTTTACAACTTTTAAATCATTAACTAAACTATAAAATGAAATGATGCATATTAATGCATGTGTTATTTGTTATATTATTTACTTATTATTCACTATGACCTAGAAATGGTGTGATTTTGTTGGGTTTTTTTTATTTTTTCCTATTAACTATCAATATTTTAACATTTTATACATTTATATAATTATAAACAGAGCTAAACCATTGCAATATGTAAAAGAAACGCTGAAAATTCCATGCTGTAAATTGTTATTGTTGTGGAATAAAGTGATTATATTATTATTTTTAAATAAAGGAAAAGCGTTAGAATAGTCAAAATTTACGTTTATACTCATCACATATGCTGGCAAACGAAACAAACACGATTACACAAAACAGCACCCGTAGCACCTACCTAGGACAAATCAAATGTCCAATTGACCGCCACAGTTCTAGCCAATGAAAGACGGGAAAACCTGAGGCGCGGAAAATCTAACAGGTTATAGCCTATATCCGCCACTGTGCGTCGGTGGCACAGTGATTAGGACTCTCGCCGACCATGCACATGGTGTAGGGTTCGAGCCCACGCCGACGCACACCTGATATCTATGGTTCGCCTGCAAAATTTCGGCTACCGATATCCACGCTGAAAATTCCATACTTGTACCAAAAATACAGTGTGGAATCAAGCTGTAATCAAAAAAACCTAATAAACAAATCTAAGTTCAACCGTAATAAACTGATTTGAAGTCATTCTTGGTCTTTTTGGAAGGTATAATACAAAAAAAGCTCGACATGAACAGGAACATCGGAAATTCATTACTTTTTCTAAAGTTCTCACGAATAAAACCAAAGTAAAATTATTGAGAGAAGGAATATTTACTTTCAAATACGTCTCCGGCTCAATAACTTTGCTTTCCAAATGTACAAATGAAGACATTTTTCAATATCGTCTATCAACCTCAGCTGCAACGGTCTTGTGGTGGATTCGCCAGGCTGGAATACACCAGGAACCAGGACACTTTTCCTATTGACGTGCGCACAAGGAAATCAGTTTCGTTTGCAATAGCTCGTAAAAATCGAAATGTAAAAATGTTGAACGATGTCGGGTATTGGGCATTAGAAGGCCAAACGCGGCTTGTTGACTTATTGCGGTACCATTAGGGAAGTCGCCCAAGAATTGATTGCTAGTTGCGACTGATTCTTTTTGGGAAAAATATAATATAGGGTGAAACATGGATTTGCGTGCCGATGATCATTTGATTGGGTTAGACTTTCAGGTAAATTTTTTATATGAATCGCTATACTTGAAAAACAGAAAGATCACCCTGTTGACGTTAGGGAAAAGAAGAGAGGAACTAAAGCCAAGAAATATAGACTGAAAAACAAGATCAAGGTTACTACGATTAATAAACAGCTCAGAATACCTCGGCCTATATATTCTTTTCAAAATAAAAATTGCTATATTGATGATAATATTCTTCGTAACTTGTCGGAGCTGGCATACAAAGTCCCAACGCCTATTCAAGCTCAGAGTATTCCAATTATGATGGAGGTGGGTCTGCTTCGGCGTTTTTTAATTAGTTTTTCTCTGAAATCCGTCAAGTGTACTTACATTTTAAAAATGTCACTCTGATTTGCAGGAAAGACATTCAGAAATCCTTCACTTCATTATTTAGTTAAAAAATACCAGGCGCTTATGAAGTGCGCCCCACAACAATTGTAGCACAGTTACATGTAAGTAAGCAACCCCTCACACAGCTGACGCTGACTTTGGGTGCATCGCGGACACTTCTGGGCAGACTGCAGATGGCTGTCACACTTTCTGCAATGCGCCGGATCTCTTTGCCGCTAAATTTCTCCAGTGCGCCCTAAGAAAAAAAACAGCTTAGTCAGTTTTAGTATAGAGACTTATAAATGCCACTTTATTTTTCGGGATTCACTTAAAGCACTTTATTAAACCGTGAAACGTTCTCGTGCTGTATGTTACTACAGTTAGTGTCCTTATACCACTAAAATACAGTTTTATTCTGTCATACTCTCGTCATTATTTTACTTAAAGTGATTTTGACACATGGTATGCCAGTACCCCCTTTTGCTTTTATTCAGTGTGCGTTATTAGTCCTAAAGATTTAATATCGAATGCAAACGCTGCCTGTACTTTTCTTTTGTCATCATTTATTATCTAATCGAGAAGCTTAGCTATACCTTTCTCTACTACTGACCTGATTGTTTTGCCACGTCTGACTGACGAGTCATTCAAACCATTTGGTTAACAGGGCATAATTTCGAGTTGTCATTCGTTTAGAAAACACACAGCTGCAAATCGAAATATAAGTGTACTATAACAAACAGCTATCGAATAAACGAAGGTAAAGGCCAGGTGGTGGTTGAATATTTTAGAGTTTGGGAGATAACATAAAGTAACAGCATCTGCAATACGTAACGGTTTTTAGTTATGTCACGAAGTTTGCCTACATTCCGGTTTGTAGCACTTGTAGAGCCACAATTTGCACCTTCCTACCGAACCCAAATTCACAAAATGGATTGTTGTTGTGTTCTGGTCTCACCACTTCTTGAATCTTTCCAACAACAAACTTCATTTTACAGTTTTCGTCGATGAAGTCAGTAGTTCGGAATGTGTAAAAAGTCCGAATTACCTCGAACGGTAACGACATCAATCATGCCGACCGACTTGATTTTCCTACATAGCACTACGCCTGACATCGGCATTATTTAGTATATTTCTCCGTTTAAAGTAGACGGTAAAATGAAGGCAGTGTTATCTAATTTCAGCTGACATGTTTAATAACTATAGATTAGGAAATGGAGAGTTACTGCGACCCCATTATAGATCTTATCTATAATGGAGTTATACTCTACCACAGTCCCCAAGTTTTATATTTATATCAATAGTCGCTGCAACCGTTTCACATCCGAATGTGTCTGCGCAAAAATTGTCAGTTAACAGTAGTGACCGTCCTACACCTTATGTCTTTTCTCTTACCCCGACTTTTTGCCCATTTATCATATTCGTAAGTACCATACTCGACAACGTCTTTGTTGTTTCACTACTAAATCTTGTCTGATATATTATCCTGTGTTTCTCCTAGACAGTCTACTATGTCTTCCCGGTGTGGAAATTCTGAAATTCCTCATAATTATCTGATCACTCGTCGTTACAACCATTCCTAGTCTTAGAACTTTGTCCTGTATGGCTGAGAGAGGTGGTATAATATACTTACTTACTTTACTTCGGCTATCTCCTACGGGAGGATGAGCCGGCTTCATGAACGTCTCGAATCATCGCTGCCCAGGCGCGGCGATCTGAAGCAAGGTTTTGCGATAGGGATATCCAATTCTTGTTCCACATACGGAGTCCGTAGACCGTTTGTAGCCCCAGGCACTCCATATCTGCCTTGACTGTACCAAGCCATGTCTTCAGCTGTCCGCCTCTGCGACATCGCCAAGATGGTAATGGCGAGGGATTTAGAACTGATTTGACCAGATCGTCATCTGGTCGGCGCAGAACATGGCCAAACCACCGAAGGCGGCGTTGTTGGACCAGTACTGGAATTTGGTTGATGTTGTAGCAACGCCGACGCACTTCTTCGTTGGAGAGTTTGTCCTGCCAACGAACATGCAGAATGTACCTGAGACACCAATGGTCTAATACCTCGAGTCTGCGTAAATCTTCCGCGCGAAGAGGCCAGGTTTCACAGCCATACAGCAGAACGGGTCGTATGGAAGCTTGGTAGACCCGAATTTTAGTCCTGAGACTGATTTCTCTCTTGCTCCATAGAACGCTCCTCAGCTGTAGAAACGCATTCCGGGCGTTGGAGATTCGCGCATTCACTTCGTTTTTCGCTTGGCCGTTGGGGAGCATTATGGATCCCAGATATCTGAAGGATGGCACAATTTCAATAGGTGCTCCATTTAAGGATAAGATTTCATCATTGCCGGTGGATGTGTTCGAAAACATTTTGGTTTTGGAAGTGTTAATTTTCAAACCGATAGTAGACGCGAGGTGGTTTATCTGGTCGAGCGCCTGTTGCATATCGGGGAAGTTTTCAGCTAACAGCACGACGTCGTCGGCGAATTCGAGGTCGGTTATGTGAATATCGGGCGAAAGTTGGACGCCGTGGTGCTCGGTTAGGGCGTGCCGCAAAATCCAATCAACTGTGAAATTGAACAGGATGGGGGATGCTGGACAACCTTGCCGGACACCGCTGGTTACCTCAAAAGTGCGGGACTCTTCACCGTTCACTCGGACTCGAGCTTTGGTGTTGGAGTAGTATGACCTGAGCAGGTTGATTAGCTTGGTCGGAACTCCGTCGAGCTCCATTAGATACCAGAGTGCTCCTCGATCAACTGAGTCGAATGCCGCTTGGAAGTCGATGAAGCAAGCAACCGTCGGCTGTTGGAATTTGTCCCTGTGTTCCAAAATTCTTCGCAGTGTGAATAATTGATCAACACAGCCTCTTCCAGGTCGAAATCCGGCTTGATTTGGCCTTGTTCGCACGTGGCGTTCGGCCGCGAAGCGGTTCAGGAGAATGGAAACAAAAACCTTAGCAGCGATATCAATCAGACTTATGCCTCGGTAGTTCTCGCATATTGACCTGTCTCCCTTTTTGTGGAACGGTAGCAGAACTGAGGTGCTCCAATCGGAAGGAATGGTTTCGGACTCCCAAATTGAGCAGAACAGCGAGTGCAGTGCATCGATTAGCGCTGGAGTGCAGGCCTTGTATATTTCTGGGGGTAGACCATCTTCGCCCGGAGCTTTTTTGTTTCTGAGTGTGTTAATTGTTTTAGCTATTTCGGTTGGAGTGGGTGGATCGCAGTCAACTACGTAGGGTGTTGGTAAGTGTCGTATCGGTCGATGAGACGGTTGACCAGCGTCGCGATTGAGTAGCTGCTTGAAATGTTCGGCCCATCGTTCCATCTTACCATTGGTGTCCGAAATAATTTCTCCTGATGCTGTGCGTAACACAGCATGACTGTTAAGGCGTTTGCCAGATGATTGGCGTAAGAGGCGATAAAGTTTTCCGAAATCGCCTACATTTGATGCTGCTTCCATGTTAGTCGCCACGTTAGACCAATAGCGATTTCTGTCGTTCCTAGCAGACTGTGTAGCTTTGCGCCTGAGGGAGCGATAAACTGGAGACTTTGCTAGGCGAGCGTCTCTGGCTTGCGAGGATAGAAGCATGGTGTGCTCTGAAATCCAGTCTTTCTGCTTCTTGGATGTGGTACCCAAATGCGACATTGAAGCTTTAGAGACTACTTCTTTGAAATGATTCCATCGTGTCTCGGGTGTATTAGAAGATGTGGATGTTGGTTCATCTGCGGCGCTTAGTTCGGCCTGGATTTGTTTGGACAAGGCTTGTCGTCTTGTAGAACATTGAAGCGGGGCAACATTGATACGCTTCGGAGGTCGCGCCTTCTGGCGTGTCGTTAAACGAAGTTTGAATTTCGCCCTAACTAGAGTATGGTCTGATCCCCCTTTATTTCCGGCCTCTGCTCCACGATAGGATCGACAGTCTTCCACCGAGGAGATCCAGCGTGAGCGCACTAGGATGTAGTCGATCTGATGTGCAGTGCGACCGTCGTTCGAATACCAGGTGAGAAGATGTTTTCTGGGGTGTTGAAATCGAGTGTTGGTGATATATAATCGATTGTAATCAGAAAAAGATAAAAGTCTATCACCATTACGGCAGCGCTGATCGAGACCGTGTTTGCCTAGTATATGTTTTGTCGCGTCGTCTGAAGGGCCAGTGCGGGCGTTCCAATCGCCGGCTACTATGAGAACGTCACGCTTTGGGATTTTGTTGATTGCCTCTTGAAGATTGTCATAAAATTCGTCTTTGATACTTTCATCAGAGTCGAGGGTTGGGGCATAGACAGCGAGAACAGAAATGTCGAGCGGGGAACCCTTGAACCTAGCGACTGCAACTCTGGAGTTGACCGGTTCGAATGATATTAGGGCATTATTGGCTTTGTTACTGAGAGCAAATGCTACCCCATGTTGTCCCGAATTATTCTGGGGGCCACTATGAAGCAACCAGAATGAAGAATCTGTTCCAGGAACGGCTATTCGGCGGGAGCCATGATCGGGTAACCTCACTTCAGATAGACACGCTATGTCTACCTTGTAGTCATATAAAGAACGCATGGTGATAGACTGGCTACCAGGATCCAACAGCGTCCTAACATTCCAGCAGCCAACAAATAGTTGGTTTCTAAGTGTTAATTTCCCAGCTAGCTTACTTTTCACACTGGCCACCGGGTGAGCACAGGGCGCGTCGCTTACCGGGAACGCCGTAGCATGGTGAGAGTTGTTTGTAGGAGAGTTCATGAAGTTTCTTGGGAATTTGGTACGAGTGATGTCCCCAGCATCGCTCGGCCTTTTGTTTGAGAGTGCAGCTCTAGCCTTTACACAGCCAAGTGTGACCTACAAGGCAGTAGGAGTGGAGTAAGGAGTCCACTATCCATTGGCAGCCGGTGACCGGAGTTCGGTTCATACGCCTTTTTGAATGGGGCCAGACAGAAAAGACATCCAACAAGCCCTTTGTCCATACGTCTGCCGGTGAGCTCCAGTGAGCTTCATACGCCAGTCGTTGGAGGTTTGGAATCAGGGTTTAGCCATCTCCCCTAGACTGTCATCCAATGGACAGTCAACCCGGTGGAGAGCGCCGGGCATCCGCTTTTGCCCTCTCACTTTAGTGAGAAACACCTCCGCCACGTGAAGGCAGTGAGTAGGACTTCCTCAGGAGAGGCTATGTAAGACGCACGGTCATATGGGAGCATTTCAAGAGGTGTGCGGAGGGGTGGCCAACCCGCAGCGCAAGACACCCACCCCCGACCATCCTGAGGCTTTGGATGGCCAATATGATGTGTAATGTTGAGGTTGAGTTGACAGTGTTAGGTAAGCAGACCAAACCAGTGCCTCCAAAGCCTCAGGATGGTCGGGGGTGGGTGCCTTGCGCTGCGGGTTGGCCACCCCTCCGTACACCTCTTGAAATGCTCCCATATGACCGTGCGTCTTACATAGCCTCTCCTGAGGAAGTCCTACTCACTGCCTTCACGTGGCGGAGGTGTTTTTCACCGAAGTGAGAGGGCAAAAGCGGATGCCCGGCGCTCTTCACCGGGTTGACTGTCCATTGGATGACAGTCTAGGGGAGATGGCTAAACCCTGATTCCAAACCTCCAACGACTGGCGTATGAAGCTCACCGGCAGACGTATGGACAAAGGGCTTATTGGGTGCCCTGGATGTCTGGCCCCATTCAAAAAGGCGTATGAACCGGACTCCGGTCACCAGCTGACAATGGATAGTGGACTCCCTACTCCACTCCTACTGCCTTGTAGGTCACACTTGGTTGTGTAAAGGCTAGAGCTGCACTCTCAAACAAAAGACCCAGCGATACTGGGGACATCACTTGTACCTAATTCCCATGAAACTTCATGAACTCTCTACAACATCAACCAAATTCCAGTACTGGTCCAACAACGTCGCCTTCAGTGGTTTGGCCATGTTCTGCGCCGACCAGATGACGATCTGGTCAAATCAGTTCTAAATCCCTCGCCAGTTCCATCTTGGCGATGTCGCAGGAGTGGACAGCTGAAAACATGGCTTGGTACAGTCAAGGCTGATATGGAGTGCCTGGGGCTACAAACCGTCTACGAACTCCGTCTGTGAAACAAGAATTGGATAACCCTGTTGCAAAACCTTGCATCAGATCGCCGCGCCTGGGCAGCGATGATTCGAGACGTTCATGAAGCCGGCTCATCCTCCCGTAGGAGATAGCCGAAGTAAAGTCAGTAAGACCAAATCAGTCGACCAGGTTGTGAATCTGCATTGATTAAGATGGCTATGATGTGTGTTACGCATGATGAAACCATCACCTTCTTCCTCGCAGGCTAGCTCGCAGAGTTCAGGTTTCACTGAGTTGTAAAACCAACCGTTGATGTCGCGAAGGTGTGTTTAGTGGCTCAGTATATATATAAAGTATTATACTTTGATAAAGCTATTAGCATTAAATAGCGAAAAGTTAGTAAAAACAATATCATTTTGTTTTTCATTCATTGGAAAATACAAAAACCTTTATTATAATGAATATCATATACCCCATACCCAAATTTTTTCAAGACAATACCCTCCTCATAATTAAGATCTATACCATTACACAGTCCTTCAGAGATGCCTTTAGGATGTCGTTGTTGGCTAAATTAAGTGAAAATATACAATGTTGTCTGATCTTACTGATGGTAGAAAATAGTGGTGAGAAATGATGGTACGGCGTCACTCTACTTCAGATATGGGATGTAGTTAAGCTTCTCTAGGGCACCTCTCTCTAACAGGCAATTTCATCCAACAGTCCAAAGAATCGAAGCTAACCACAATATTATGATTATTGTGGCGCAACACGTCTAACAACTGATGTGTAGTGAACATGTCATCGATATATCCTCAACATGAACGTAATCATGCATGTTCTTCGCGTTTTACAAAGCCTACCGAGCATCGAACTAATACCGTGATGATCAGACACATTATATAAACCTTTGTTAAAGACAGGTATAATGATTGCCTTATTCCACATTGGAGCACTGAATTTCCCAGAATTCCTTAAATAATCTAGTTAGTGTCATCATTTTGTCAAAACTAGGTTTTCTGGGTAGATGAATGCTGTCCCTTCTGAAAGTTTACGGGAAATTTTACAGCACTTCTTGTGTTGTTGCTTTGACTACTTTATTCAACATGTTTTCTTATTTTCACATGTTTTGTAATACATCAAGATGTACTGAAACCCTAGTCATTATTTTTTAGCATCGTAATCTACTAGCTTGTGCACCAACAGGTTCAGGGAAAACAGTCGCCTACCTACTTCCAGTGCTTAATGAATTATTATTAACGAAACCTCCTGACCGTGTTAATTCGACGGATACTCTGGATGGAAATATGCAGTTAGAAAGTAAAATATTTCCATTCGCTATTATCTTGGCCCCCACCCAAGAACTTATGCATCAAATCTGGTCTGAAGCGATTCGGTTGTGTCGTGGTGTCCAAGGAGACTGTTATGTGGCAATGCTCAACCAAAAACACTATTCTAATCGGTGCAAAAAAAACTCAGATAAGACTGTTGCGACTGCAAGTGTACTACAGAATTCGAAGAAGTCACGTGAATTAAGACTACATGCGAACACAAGAATCCTAATTTCAACGCCAAGTCGGTTAATTGCTTTGTTATCTCTTCCACCCAAGCAATGTCCGTTTGACTTCTCCAGGTATGTTTGCTGTCAGTTTGATTTTACCGTAAATGTTTTTCATTATTTTACGTGAAATTCACAGTTGTACGATTAGCTCAAAAGTTTAGAAACTAACTAGGAACTTTCGCTCACTCCAAAAGTTTGGTACGTACCCTTGTTCTTGATGTATTAAGCACTTCAGTAGAGGAATTAATTACGAGTAATATTTCAATATACATTTTTTTCTGTATGATTTTCAGACTTTGTTGGATCGTGGTGGACGAATGTGATAAGATGCTAGAAGTAAATTTTGGCGATTTGTCTCGTCTTAAGTCAGAACATTCGGACAAAGAGAAATATCGACCTCGTGGATTTCATGATCAGCTAGCTGCTATCCTCGAGGCCACGAAGACCGTCCATTCCAATGAACAGTTACAGACTAGGCCTGCTATCGCTTTGTTTTCAGCCACTATTCCTGATGAGGTTGTACTGTGGGCGAAAAGTCAGCTACCTGCTTTCCTGCAGACTGATAATTTCGCCCTGGAATTAGTCCAATTAAGAGTGGGTATCCGGTAAGTCAAGAATTACTAGTTGCAGTATTTATTGTAGTTTTGCGTTTCAGTACGTTTTATCGTAATCATATTTACATGGTATAAAATATATTTTTTGTGGTGTTAAGTTAGATATAGTTTGTTAATACTCTTCATTACGTGTTTTGTAATTAAACCTTGAATGCCACTCACCTAATATCAGACGAGGAACCTACACTCCCCACACTATGGACATTTTCAGTGCAAATGTTTGCGTTCTTTGCAAAAGAAAAACCTACTTTGGTTGTAATGAAAGGTATGAAAAGCATTATTCCACTGCATTACCACTTAGATTTCTTAAGCCTGCCTTTCCACAGTTTTATTTATGATAGCACCGAGGAAACATATTGAGAGCATCGTAGTTTACTATCACTTCTAGTTAAACTTTTTATAAATTGTATATAACTTCACAAATTGACGTACTTGCTGAGGACGCTTCACCTTTGAGGATAGTTTCAAGGCTTGAACTTCAGAGTTGTTTACCATCTCCATGTCGAAAGATGTGCTCAAAACTATTACTACAAAAATTTTATCTTCATTCCGAATATCCTTGTAAAGCAGAAGACTTAGAAGTTTAGTTAATTGCCCTCTAGGGTTGAACCATTTGAAATTCAGGACTATCAAGACTGCTTTCAATTTTGAATATTTGATAACGAAGGTAACAAAGTCAGTAAGACAGATGTGGATGTAGAATGTGTTGCCATCGGGGTTCTGCAAGATAATGAGTGTATCCGGCAAGTATGGTTTTACTTTCCTACTTATTGTCTTTGATATCTTCGAGAAAAACTCAAATTGTCAATCGTCGCACTCTTCTCCGGAAGCACTGGCTGTATACATTCTGTTTCTTATACCTTCGCTATTAGTCCAGTTGATGTTTACTTATATCCACCTTCAATCTTTTTAATAAATATGCTAACTTTTTCTTTTTGTGGCAATCTGCATAGAAATGCTGCTGTTTCTACTGTCAAACAAGAGTTGCGCTACTGTGCTAATGAACAAGGGAAACTTTTAGAAATGCGTTACCTGCTTGCTAATGGACTAGCTTATCCATGTCTGATTTTTATGCAGTCTCGAGAGAGAGCTAATGAAATCCTTAAAGAAATCCTGCTATCTGATGCAAACATTTTGGTAAATGTTATTTCTAGTGATAAAACGATAGCTCAAGTATGTGCATATTGTCGTTTTGTGTCCTATTTTCTATTGCTATGTACTAGTCGCCCCCAAGTGTCTTTTAGTGTGTTATATGCTTAACTGCATCCATGTACTCGATTTTTTGCTTTATCTATATTCGTTATAGCTTTTTACTGCATAGTTAATTAGGATAATCTGTCCTATCCTTCCTCATAGTCTTTTACTGACAAACTCAAACCAGTTTTTACATCAGTTTTCTAGATGACTATCTGCATTTGTTTCTATAAAGACTAGCTGTCATCATAATAATGGCTACGTGCATCCCAGCAGATGTCTAAGTACATAAAAGTACATATAATATGCCTGGAAAGTACAGCTTCTCTTCAGATTACTGGGAACTGTGCATGAAAAATCTAGTTGTAATTAACGCTTAACGTCGCTTTATCGCAGGGTACACAGACATGTTTTACGTATTTTAATACGTGAATTTACCATGGATATATGATTTCACTTACTAAATAAATCTCGTTTGGTTCTGAGTCTTAACTCCATCTCAACAAATTTGTCTTACTTCATGGTGTGACGGTGTCCGTATGTCTAAACATTTTAGTTTGGGCAGGCAGATAGTTTCATCAGCCCTCACACATAAAGTATGGTTCACTTTCTGGTATGCAGGAAATCTGTTCTGGCTAACTAAGTTTGAACTAATAAGTATACACTCTTGTTTCATTTTTCAGCGTTCCCAAGTTGTTCGTGCTTTTCGTGAAGGAAAACTTCATGTTCTCATTTGTACAGATATATTGGGTCGTGGAATTGATTTCAAAGTAAGTCCCAAGTTGTGCTTTGACGAGATTATACATCAGCGTACGTAACATTATAAACTTTGATACTGGAAATAGAAAATACAGGTTGTGCATAAAACTTTTTTATATATATTTGATTTTAGCTTGATCACATACTGTATTTCTGGTACAAGTATGGAATTTTTGGCATGTAATATCGGTAGCCCAAATTTTGCAAGCCGACCAATTGATATCAGGTGGGCGTCGGCAGAGGATTGAATCCCGGACTATGGCATGGTCGGTGAGAGTCCTAACTGCTGCACCACCAACGCATATAAAGCGTTATCCACTAGACCACTTAGGCCAAAAGCCGCCGCCCTATGAGAGGTAGGAACCCCCGACCCTCAGACTAAAAGTCTGATGCTCTGCCGACTGAGCTAACCTATTAATGCTCAGTTTCCAAGTTTGTAGTTAAGTCATTTCCAAAAATTTTACTGGCTTCTGCGCTTCACCTTATGCTTTATTATCATTCCCCTGGGTTCCGAGTGGGGCTCCAACAGCACATCTCCACTTTGTCCTATTTTGTACTGTCCTCATTATCCGGCCCAACGATTGCCCATAGCTCTAATCTCTTCCATGTCATTCTTGGATGGCCCAACACTTCATTTTCGATCCGTGTTCTACTTAAGCTGTGGCTTGTTGCACGATGTCATTTGATGGTCTCCTCAGCGTTTTTCCGACCCATCTCCATTTCCTACTGCCTATTTGTTGAGGAATATGTTCTTGTTTGGTCTGTTCCCATTGTTTCTTGATAGTTCTTTCTGGCAAGCCACCTTATATTCAGTATGGAGCTAGCGAAGGCAGCTGTTGATAAAATTCTGCAGTAGCCTGTTGCAAATACTTTTCATGACCCGCACTCCATGTTCCTGAACCATATAGGAAAACCAACTGACTTAACATTTGTATTGAAAATTCAAATCTTGTTCTTTATGCTGAGTTAGTGCAGAAGATCTCCAAACTGGTTTCAGGTTGATGAAAGCGTATCTTGCCTTTTCGATCCCGCCTTTGATATTTTCATTCATTCTGCGAGTAGTTGAAACGATGATGCTTAGATAAATGAGGGAAGTAGCCTCCTTCAAACTTCTGTTGATAGTGAATGGTGCTGTAGTTGGCTTGGTTATCTTCATTACTTCCGTCTTCTATGTTCACCTGGAGTCCTATCTTCGCTGCCTGCCACTGCCGCCAGTTCGTTGGTTTTCGCCTGTAAGTCTTCGAGTTTGTGAGAAATGAATCACCTGAGAAGTCCAAATCTTGAAGTATCTTCTTATCGGTTCAGCGTGTTGTTGTCCACTCACTCCCTGTGCATAGACTGATGCATAATCCAGACCAGCACAATCAGGAATATCATCGATGAAAGAAGGCAGAATTTTCTTATCCCTATATTCACTGCAAACGTCCCGATGAGTTTTCCGTTGCTGATCACCTGACACTTGGCATTGTCATATAGCAAGCTGTTGAATGAGGTTGATAAAGGTTTGGGGCTCGCTATAGTGTTGTGCTTTTTGATTAGTTAGAATGCAAACATAGATTTCCAGAAAATGACTGTAAACCAACTGCAGATGTGAAGATCCCGAAGCTGTCGTTCAGGAAAATATGCACTGTTAACTGAATTGATACTCATTTGTAAGTAGTTTTGCTGTGACAATATTGTATTTCCCGAAAATTCACAGATCGTTGGTTCAATATAGGTAAAAGCAGATTCTTCAGTGGGCCTCATAAGCCGTATTGTAAAATCCCCATGCAGTGTGTCATTCGATATGCCATGCATAAAATACCTGTGCCTGTTAGAGTCTCTGGCGTTGGTCTGATGCTTCTTCTGTTCTCCAGAAGAAAATTCACGGTGTAGGCAGTCGGGGAGTAATAGCCACCCACACACTTCAACAAGCACACAAAGCTTTTCTGTTCATCACCCTATTCCCTGTTTGAAAGGGGTTGTAAACAAGTTTGGTTGAGAAATGTGTAGTCAACTAAAGGCATGTAGATATACTCTCTTTGGAGTATATAATTGTCTTTTTTGTTAATTGTCATTTACTCTTCTCATCTTATGGTTGCTGAACCGCATTATTATTTTCATTTTTCACAGAATAACTTACCTTTAAGTAATATAATTCTTTTGTAATCACTAAAAGAACGTTGTAGAATTTACCACATTATGACTGGTTGATGTCTGTATCTACTAATCTCCACTTCCGAAAGTGAAGGTACCAATGGAATGTACGAATTCTACATTACTTTCATAAATGTTTTCCCGCAGATATTAATGAGTATACTTTCCAATTATACAACAGTAGACTTCTGATGGGATGTAAAGTTGAAAATAGAAACACGAGTATATTTTCCAAGTGACTTCGGTCGCTCGTTCAAAAAATAAGTCCTTTATTTCAGCTGAGATTCTCCGTTTTTCACTCTCATCTCATCCCAAACAGTTTCAACAACAAACATTTCTTTCAACATCCGGTGGAAAAATTTTGTGACTAATAACACACTGTTAACTAACAGTCGATTCAATCAAGTGAACTTGAAGTCAAATATGAGTACTTCGTATGGGGTCAGTTGATAATAGTATGAACTTACATTGTTTTCTCATTCCAAGGGCGTCAGTATGGTAGTCAATTATGATGTCCCTGCATCAGAGCAAGAATATATACATCGTGTCGGTCGAACTGGAAGAGCTGGTCACCGTGGAAGAGCTGTTACATTGTGGAGTGATGCTGATCTTCCGCATATCGATGGTATCTTATCAGTAATGAAAAGAAGCGGTTCAGAGGTTGACGCAGAACTAGACAGACTTGTGAACCAGTGGAAAACACATCGTTTAAACACACTGTCCAAAAACAAAGAATCTAATGCAGATCGATGTATGAGTAGTGTAATTAGTCGTCGACGTGGAGAAAGGCGCCTCGCCTATAAAATCCTCAAAAATTCGGACAGAAAAAGAAGTAAAACTGCTGATAGTGAAGATAAGTAAGTGGGACCCATTCACCTATCTATTGTTCTATTTCAGGACACTCAGAAAAGCTATTGACATTTTTGAACAAACAGTCAGGCTCATTGATTCTAAACTCCGCGTAGGTGCTGCAGTACTGAAGAAGATTTCCTGATGTATATTTATCGTCTTTTCTAATTAAAGATTACTTTATCACTCAAAGATCAACACAGTATAGTGACTGTAAAATCCACTGGCAACAAATCTATGTGGCTATACGCCACATTTCACTATCACAGCGTAAACACTGAGTTGCTGACCGCCTGAGAGACAGCAAATTCAAAGGTAATGAAAGTTGGTAAGGGCAAAAGAGCCTTTTGTATCAATACTGAGTTCGCCGGCCAAGAATTCAAAAGTATCGAAGCAACTTTGCGTACACGTGAAGCCTTTGATATGTTCAACCACTTCACTCCGTGTCTTACACGTAGAAGTTTATGCATACCAATCGTGGAACCTAGAATATTGAATACCACACTAGTCAGGTTGATCTTGTTTGAAGAAGAACAAGAAAGAATAAATTTGCATGAGAAAATGACATCATTATTTTAGTTCAAACTAATCAAGGGGACTGAGTGATTACTTAGTACGATTTGTTTTCTTTCTTATAGACTATAATGATCAGTTCGACGGAAATATCTTGATTTGTGCCACACAATAACAAGTATCTTAGTTAATCTAATGAATGACTCACTACCGACTTTAAATACTATTGGGGTTAGATTCAGCCGCTTTTTCCGCACTTCTGCTAGGTATCTGATGTTCATGTCCCATGAAGACTGAATTTAAAAGACGAGCAACTACAATCCTTCTGAACACATCTACTGAGTATTATATCTGTTGCTCCAGTTGTCTCACCTGAAAAACTACTGAAATTTCATCCCTTTACTGCATTGTTACACATAACTTTCCGAGACTCGTCTTCTAAATAACTCCAAATCGTTGACGGGTATTTCATCTTCTAATGCTTTCTTTTCTCTCAGCCCCTATTGTTCACTATCGTTATAGACTTCTGGTGATTCCAACCAGCCTTCCTTCCTCTTCATGTTCAGAGCCGGTAAGGAATCGGTCCCACTAGATTTTATTAGTATTTGTATGTAGTTTATCAACTCTCTTAAGCGTAGTTTGTTCAGTAGACGTAATATGGTGTCGTAACTTTTCAGTCTAAGTATTGCTATCACTCTCAAATAAGTGGTGATTATCATGTCATGTACTAAATGGTTAACCCAAAGCAATTTACTAATGAAGTGAGAATGTTTGATTAGTAAAATCTGTCTTAAATTGAGACCAAAACTTATGGCATTATTAGGATCTAGAACGTTATTCCTTAATAATACTATAATATTCCACTATTGTGATCGCGTTACTAACCGTCGGGATTATTATGCAGTGGTCATGGTATTTAATTTTTGCTGTGCCACTATATATACAATATAGCCACAAAGATTTCAACTGCCAAGTTACCAATATTTATCGATTGGAGACTTCCTACACTAACCATCTAGTAACATGTAACTTCCAAATATTTTAATTTGCTCATTTTTAACTAAAGACTTAAACAGTATTACTTAACGCTTGACGATTTTATTCAGTGATTTGAATATCTTTTGTTTGTCATTTTAGGAGCATGTGGTTGAGGCCTTGGAATCCACACAGAGGTCGTATCAGTGATGTGCCTGGAGCACTAAGCAAAAAACACGAAACTAAGTAAACCGGCTGTAATTACATTTCCCCCTTACTGCTCTGCCAAAATACACAGATTGTTTTTTTTTATTTTAATGCATGGGAAGGATAATCAGTAGGAGAATTACAGCAAGGTCTATAAAATCTAGAAATGCAGGGTTCTAGCTCAAAACACAAGTTTGCGTGGAAAACAGAATAGTTATGTAGTACAAATATAAAGTTTGTCATGAAATTGTGAATGATAATCATAATTCTTTGATATCTTATTAAATCATATAACGAAACGAACATAAGGTAATCTATATTTCTTCACAGTGTTATTACAGATCGGATTAAAGCGCTTCCAAGGCGTAATTCTTCTGACAGAATGCGCCGCATTTCCTCTTTGTAAAGATAACTTGGGGGAATCCAACGACATATTTTACGCTTTTTATGAGATCCAGAGTTGTTCCTTCTGTGTGTATCAGAGATTGGCTCACTATCCATTGACACGTCGGTATCGCTTGTGTTGCCATTTCGGTTGTTCTCATGTCCAGCGATTGTAGCACTAATTGCGCTATCAATACTATTCATAAGGCGACGGAAATCAACTCTTAGGTTGGGTGAGATTTGTTGAGATTCTGTGTCGTTGAGGTCAGATTCTTCATTGTCTGCGGTCCTTTGTGTAAAAAGGGTGCAATGGATAAGTCGGTTGAATAAAAGAAAGCAAGTTACACATTAAAAAAAATTAACTTGTGTCTTTAGGACTGCTTCGACAAAACAGCTCATAGACAGGTAACGACAGTGACCAAGTGTGTGACCAAGGAAGAGATGCCTTGTTTTCGTCTGAACATTAATATACCAGTAGAAAAGAGAGCAATTTTATATTGCTGAGAAATAAGAAAGTATAAAACTATGGAATGGAGACCATTCTTAAATAATCCAAATTAGTGATGCTCGAAAAAACTCAAATAGTATGAAGGAAGCATAATGATAATTTTTTCTCAGAGGTTTGAACAATAAATCCCTAGCTGGATGTCAGTAACAGAAAAGTGCATCAGTGCAAATTGGTACATATTAAAAAGCTATACACAAAAATACTTCAAGTGATCACGAACTGACTTTAGTTATACAACCAGGGAGCACTGAACAGCCGCTTCGTCCTTATTGAGACCTTTCAGAACTATGTACCCATGACACAAATATCTCCACTTTACAAGGCGAGCTCCTACACACCATTCAGCTAACTGGATGGTATCCAGTGACCTATAAATTTTATGTTTAGCCAATCTCCGATATATAGCGCCACTGCTAGCCAATGCCACCGGTGGATATCACCTACCAAGTACGGTTGAAACAACGTTTGTTTAGTACACCTTCGTTCTAATGGTCAACTGAGGTCCAAAACTATCGAAATTTCAAATGTGACGGAGGGAGAATATATCTGCAGGGTGGTGATAAAAAAACACCATGCTAATCAGCATACATCTGGAAGATTGCTGATGTCTCCCAACCTATCTAATGTAATCTTAACTATGACTTCAAATGGTCCCATATGCATAACTTATATCTCAGTCATCTTCAAGGGGTATCCCCTAATTTCACCTTGGACTTACGCCTATTTTATTTCAACGACACCAAGTGATGCGTCATACACATATATAAAAGAAACATAACAACAGTAACCTCTTAGGTAATTGTTTCGATTCTTAACAGTATCTAGCAACATCTTCAGCTTTTAGGTAGTATGATGTCTCATAAATCAGATATCCTTCATCCCGTGACACCAAGCTGTCAGTTGGTCATCCTACAGTTTTCATGACCAGATTTCGCACCAAAAAACCGTGAAAAGCCAACATACTGAAGGAAAGGCTCCGTTCTACTCAAGTATGCGCAACCGGACCTCAGAATCGCTTACACGTTGATAACACTGAATACGAGCTATTTACAGGGATAGCAATGTTCAAACACAAAGTTGCCGCACATTGTTAGCCAGATTTCACTGGCTTAACTCAAGGTTACACGCAGCAAAGTTGTGTAAATCCGACTCCTAATATACTAGAGGTGCCCCTCCGCCAGCACACACTACTCAGGTACATAGACTTCTTCCATACAACCAACGGCTCACGTGCGGGGATATGCCCTTCGTATTCACATCCAATTATAAAGTAGTCATACAGAGACATAGTGTACTGCACTGCTCAACGTAAGCCGGGATAAACAAATCTAGTCGCCTAGACATAGTGAATTACACTGGCACTTCATGAAAGAGACATTATAAAGCGTTTTAGTGTGAACTTACGATGAATCATGTTCCTCAATCGAAACATCCTGTACTTCATGCGGACCACTTGTGTCCAAACTATCTTCATTTCCTGAACTCTGATTTGAACTTGGCCTATCTTCACCTATCTGTGTAGTATTTATTAAATAATGTCTACAAAGGCATCGGGGAAAAAGGGAGTTCATAGAGAACAAAAATATATACAAAACAAGAAATTTCATAAGGCAATAGCAGGCAACATGCAAGGTACGCTCTTGTAACAAAAAAAGGAATTGATATATGTACGCTAGTAAAGATCTACAGGTAAAGTGCATAATCCAAGACACATTCTTAATATGCGTGCTATTAATATCCCGAACTGAGGGAAGAGAACATCAACTAGTTACCGTAATATGATACTTAGTAGAATGAAAATACTATGATTGAAAGACGCAAAATGCCGAAAGATAAAAACGTGCTGTTACGGCAAAGATGAACAAACTTCAAATGCGTCCGAAACTACCAAAGAAACTGTACACTATACAGTGCAAATCCTACAACCTTATCTTAACAAACACTGACGTGGCCAAGTGTCAGGAACCAGCATAAAATAGTATTTCATCCTTTCTCACGAATCGTGTGATTTATCTTGTGATGGAGTTACTATGTTGATCTATTATTTCTCACATATGTTGTGATTTAGTGTGTGATCAATTCATTGTCTTTTGCCTCCCCTTGAACTTTGTCGAATCGTCAACCTCTGAGAATAGTCATTGCTAGCTGAGAAGAACAATCCATTGTCACGACTGTGAACCGACTTCATTGTGGTAAAGAAAATGTATAAATATCACGTGTTGTCTTGGAATTTACAATACAATGTCTTACGGTCACAGCCGATCTTTGTCTTTTGATATTTGCGTGGCTTAGTGAATCGGAAGGTAGAACGGACAAACAGGGGTATTAGCGTACCAGTCGAGTTCGTTACTGTTATAATAATTAGCAGGCGCAGACATAACAAAGTGGCAACAGGTTTATTCAGTTCAGTGTAGTTATAAAACCCACGTAATCCGACAATTACTTGGATTGTTTCCACAATGTGAGTGATCAAAATCATAGTCTATCAATCAATAAAAAAACTCTGTGGATTTTCGTAAAATGGCAATCAAAAGCCGCTACGTTGACCTCTCATAGTGAAAGAAATCATTCATTCTTTTTAAATAAAAGAGGTGACTGAAGGGTTAGCGTAAATACTGCACCGAAATTCATGGGTTCAAGGAGCTACTATTCCGACGAGTCTAAACCAAGGAGATAAATTATTGTTAAAGATGCATGTTTCAGCGATTATTTGATGGAAATTAAACATAAGTGACTGATCATAGCTTCCGAAGGTGGCATAGACTGTTTTCAGTCTCACATCTCACTGACTGAGTTTTCAACGTAAAACCTTCCACAAAGGTACACCATTTGAAGTTAACACACTCCATATTAGCACACAAAGGTAGAGAATAAGAAACCATAATGAGCAGAAATAGAGTAAATCTACAGAGAGTAATGAGAGTTATAAGTCTGAGAGTTCATAGAGAGTGAATGCATCTGTATTATTGATAACGGTTTCGAGCCACGTCACCAAAAGTCTCAAACCATTGGTTCTGAGTGTCTACATGACTACAACCAGGCAGTCTAGACTCACAAGTGTGGCTTAAACCACCAGTTAGACTTCATCAGCTGATGATATGTCTTGATTTCACTATCCCTAACTCTTCTCCTACCCAATGCTATGCTGGCTAGCACTTCCTGACGAGAAAGGCGATAACGTGATATCTTTTCATTCCTTTGCGTTCCATGTGGAACAAAGGGCTTCAACCTTGAGTTTTGAAGTTCCAATAGTGTTGGTGTCCCTATAAGGGGTGGGGGTTGCTAGCTTTACGCCTAGCATACCCTCCTTTCTGGGTTAAGCGATTGAAACCAGACGATGTGTGTGGTTACCAAGAATTCTCGTACTGAACCACCGATGACACAGATGGCTTGATATGCGTAATACGTATACTGGCCATCTCAAGAGACAAAGTTACACAACCCTCCTTGCCTAACACTCTACGCATAACCTCAATGTTGCTCACCATATTATGCCACTTAGTATGGGAGATGGGACGCAAACACCTGTGGTAAAAGATAGCTCCTCTTTCTAAGTCTACTTTCAACGGCCATGTCTCACAGCTATAGAGAGCTACTGAACAGCACACATGTGATCGATGACTAGATAGAGCATCTAAGCCAGGGATGACGTATGTTGGCAAAAGCCACACGAAACTATCTTTGCTGAGATTTCGTCGGCAATGAATGGATTAGGACTACTGCAACTTCTCGAATAAGTAGAATAGTTAGGTAGGGTTTGGAAAATCTTGTGCACTAACTAGTTACAGTGTAACTGTGGCTGGTCTTCGCCTTACTGCTTCCAGCTGATACTGCATATCGCCGGATAATTTATAAGTTATTTATGATTCACATTTGTATGTGTATTGTGACAGGAATTCAGAGGATTTGGTGGGACGTGATTTCTTGCAACGTCTTCGAATCGCCAGTCTTATATGCATCATTTAGAGGTATCTGACACATCCATCTTAGGTTGCATGACACGCAAATTACAGTTTCATCTAGCTGCAGTGACTCGTGAATCAACTGTCGGTATATTGTCCGAGATTTCACATCAGGAAATAACGTGACTTTCAATCTTTCACAGTAAATGTGTTTATTATTCATGTAGTGTAATAAGTATGAAATTATTGGCGAATTTGAAACCAGACTTGAAGCTAACCAATATCCAAAAATATTAGGACGGTTCTGTCTTAATCCCAGCTCATATATGGATGATTGATGAAATTCTAGAAAAATTGAGAGTCTTAGTGAAGTATTGTTATTATTATTTATTACTTACTCTCCGAGTGGAACACACGGCTTTATCAGCGCACCTCCACTTCACTCTTTTCTCTGCTATCTTCTTTAGCTAGCCCCACAAATGTCTGTATCAACAGCCTCTAATCAGATTACGAGTAGAACATAAGGGTTGTGAAATTCTACAGCAGTCTGTATTTTCAGCTAGTCACACATTTTCAACGAGTAATGAATATTAAGAGAAAAAACAATTGTGGTCCATTTGGCGCTTACGACTTGACTTGTGGCATTCATTTTCCAGTTATTATTTACTCCTCATATAACCTCCCACACGTCATCCTCAGCCGCCCAATTCATCGTTCCCCGTCTGAGTTCCTTTGAGGGCCTAGCGTGTGAAATCGATCGATGGTCTCCTCAGCCTATATCCAATCCATCTACATTTCTTTCTATAAATTTGTAGGGCAATGAGTTCTTTGTTGGTTGGCTGCTACAGTTCCTTCCTCCTTGTCCATTTCCGTTCAACCACTTGCTCTTTAATATCGAGCAACAGAAGGCAGATGTTGACGGATTTCTATGATAGCCTGTTGGAAACACTTTGTTGTCTCTGAATCATACAGGCAGTAACTTGCCGTTAGTATTAAAAATTGGCTGTTGTTATTTGTGCTGGATGCTGATGTTCAACAAAAATAGACTCCGTGACAAACTGAATAAAATTGCATACAACTACTATCAGGTATCAGTTACACAATCTACTTTTACATATAAGGTTGAATGAACAACTATGCACAAAAATTATCAGTCTCATGGTAGTAATTACTGTGGTGTAAAGCTTACCAAAATTAGCTCATTGTTGGCCAAATGTCCTGATATGGTGAGTAGGGTAAGTAATTTGATGATATGCATTCTTCTGCTTAATATCACATGATTTCATCCTACTTTTTCATAAAGATTTGCTTTCTAGAAAATACTACCGTGAAATACGAAAACTGCAGGAACATTTGATTTCATAAGGCTCAGGTTGAAAACTTATGTGTGCATAGGACAGCCGAATTCCTAATTTTATACGATCACAGTCAAACAAGGTATTGTGAACATATACTACACCACAATTCAAAAGTACAAAAGGAGTCACTATTTACAATTAAAAAGTAGAGAAAATGCAATGACTCATACAGGTAAGCTAATCGTCTGATACGTACACATGCAAATCAAATATGCATTGAAAAGGTTGAATGCCATGCAAATAATGAAAAAAACTGCATTAATAATGAGATTTGAGAGCATTTTTAAGAAACTATATTTACAAAATGTACAGGAAACATAAAACAATTAAACTATGAAAAAAGTAATTATCCTATAAGGATATTATCTTCAGAATTACTGGTAGACTAGAAGGTAAGGGATAGCAATTTTGACCAAGACTACATTCCTTTCAAAGTCTGCGTTTCCTAACACAAAAAGGGACTCGATCAAATGTCCTGCTAAACAGGAATCTAGGGATTACGGCATACATGCCTAGTCAGTTTGCATATCGCATCAAATTCACTACTATGATTTAACTGGTAAAGGAGCTGATCTTCAACCAAAGCAACACCGAGGATATAAAAACTGTTTTACTTTTTATGTCGATAAAACAACATATACAGTATACTAAATAATACTGCTTTAACAAAAAACCTCTCGAAGTTAATGTTCATTTACCAGAACAAATTAAGTTAACCACTTATTGAGCAACGACCCAATAAACTAGTATATTGAGATCGTCGTTCTTAATAGACAGTCACTTCCTGCAATATATTGCCTTTTTAAAGTGCGAAGGAATGTCTTAACAGATTATTGAGTATGTCACGTTAGTACCTCGCGATAGTCATTAAGACTAATTCGAACAACCGATGATACTCCAATAGATAAACCAAAAAAATGTTGCAGTAAAATCTGAGTGCAAATATGCCTCATATGAGAACCATGAATATGCGATATAAAAGAATCACAAACTTGTAGAAATTTGTCATAGATTCCATCTCTATTGATTAACGAATGTTATCAAAAGGCATACATTGCAACTACAGTTTCCTAACTGTACAATAAGAAGTAATTGTTTTTATGTCAAAAATAAGTTATCAAGTATTTTAGGTTCATATATATACTTTTACAACAAATTTGATTTTTGAAATGAGTGGTTTGTAAAATTCCAATGTAACTGAGCGGTTATTTAGCGCAGCGTATCTAAGGAATTCATATTATGAAGTAATTTGTCCACAAACAATAGCATCAGCTTTTAAACTAGGTTGTAAGCATTCAGCATATTCCCAGTTTACTCGAACATCGTATGCGATTCCTAGCTCAAGTACTACGAAATGCCTAATAACAACAATCTTAGACTTATTTAGATGAAAGCGAGGAGAATTGGGTATGAAAGAATTTCAAAATCACAAATATGAATAGATAATACAAAAATAAAGTGTTGCCCTATAAGTTAATACTTAGGATATTACATATCATATCCTAAAGAAATGCAATACTGCTGGACTCACAAAAATCGAGCCGTAGGAGCATTCTGTGCAGTCGTTGGACTAACATATTGACTTCTACGCCGGTACACACCAATTTCATCTTCCGTCTCATCCGGTTCTTCGGCGTCAATTAATTGCATCGGAATGTCCAATTCTTCACTAGCATCACTGTCATCTACCACTACTTTTCTCCGACGACCAAGAACTGGCGGGCCATTATGACGACATTCTATTGCATTCCGAAGGAGGCTTCGTATAAGGCGCGCAGCTAGCTGCTCCAGTGGTGGCACTTCTTGCTTAGGAGCTGGAATTATCGAACGAAAACTATGCTGAAGGGCAGTTAACCAACCATATCAAAAACATAGAACAAACATGAGTAAACAAATGCTGCGATATTTTCTAAAGATAAAATGAGGATATAAATCTCATCTTTCCAGCTCAATAATTCCATCGGGTAATTGTCATGTATTTAAAATCCCTTGCAGAGGTATATATATATATATATATATATATATATATATATATATATATATATATATATATATATGGATAACGTAACGAGCTAAGACCCTCAGATAATAGCTACCGGAGGTACTATAAAGGCAGAAATACTGACTGGATATAAAACGCCCCGACATACTGCGATTCGGATGTAATAAGGCATGAGTTCTATCAAAAGCTGTCTAATTTGCTGCGAAGAGCAAAACGCTTAGATATAATCGTCTTAGCAGGCAACTTTATTGCTCAAGTGGGGAAGTTATGCCAGAGTGGAAAGTACATTGGTGCCACCTACGAGTTCCATACCGATGAACCGACAATGGCGATCGTCGTTTACAGCTCTATTCAGATAAAAATCTGTTTTCAATCGGCACCACCTTTAAATAAAGAGACATTGCTTAACCTAGCGATCTCCATCATCGAAAAAACAACTGACTCAAACATAACAAATAATGATAAGCTGTCGACGGAAGGTGGACAGAAGACATCTACACTTTCTGGAACACCTAAGTACACACCGACCACACTGTAGTCTGTGCACGTATACGCCTACGACCGAACACACACAGGAAACAAATAGCTATAAAGCCGTGATACCCCTAACTTTTTTTGACTAGAAAATAGTTTTTATTCAAAGAAAAAATAACTAAATGTATATCTGTAACTGACAGAAAGATTCATCCTGAGGAAGCCTGGCATCATATTCAGTCAACTATAAAACAATGGTACAGGCTATTGATAAGTTGAAACCAAATGTTAGTAGATGCCAGTAAACTTCTCTTGTTTCATCAGAACTGATACATGTAAGAAGACTGATTCCTGAGGACTCCAAACATGGCTGCTCATATGCACTAACTAAACTCAGCAACGAACATCAACAGTTGTGGGGGAAAAGCCAAACAGATGGAAATGGCAACGGCGACGGATCCACTTTCCCCACTTCTGTTTAACTTCATCATAGATACGCTGATGGAAGTATCCTTAACTGAACGTTATGACTTAGGAATCGACTTGTTACCAGGGAATAGTCTTATGGACTTAGAATATGCAGATGACATAGTCCTGTTAGGGGAGGATGCTGACAAAATGCAGAGTCTTCTGAACACCTTGAGCAGCAATCTTCGTAGGTTTGGCATGCGATTCGCCCCTACAAAATGTAAGATGCTGCTACAGGACTGGATCACGTCAACCCCTAACTTAGTGATAGGGAATGAAGTGATAGAACATGTTGACCACTTCACCTATTTGGGAAGTTGTATTAGCACCAACGGACTGATTGGCGATGAAATCTCAGCACGGATCCGAAAAGCTCGAGCTGCTTTCGTTGACTTACACCATCTCTGGCGTAGGCGTGACATCCGGTTATCAACCAAGGGACGTGTGTACTGCTCATCAGTTCGCTCCGTCCTTCTCTATGGCTCTGAAACATGGCCAATACGCGTTGAAGACATGAAAAGGTTGACTGCTTTCGATCATAGATGTCTGCGATCTCTGTCTCACGTTAGGTGGTTTCACAAGATAAGTAATGTTGACGTTAGGCGTAGAGTGTTGGGCAAAGAGGGAAAATCAATCGACGAGGCTATAAAGTTACATAGACTAAGATGACTAGGTCACGTGCTGCGCATGCCTAACCACCGCCTCCCCCGACGGGCATTGCTAGCTGATATAGGTGCAGGTTGGAAAAGAGCCAGTGGTGGCCAAACAAAAACATGGCATCAATCCATGAAATCCTTGACAGTTAAACTGAGTCAGGTAGGGAGATGCAGACTCCCGGGTTGGGGCCCTCGGGACTGACTCTAGGAATCAATGGCTGGAGACAATAGGTGACACGGCTCAAAATCGTTGTCAATGGCCAGCGCAGATGTATTCAGTCTCTGTAATCTTTCATATTCCTTTCTACCATTACCCATTCTGTTTCACTCTTATACTTGTCAGACTGTATTGATTCTCTTCACTCATCTTCTTGTCTACCTCTGTGTGCTATTTGGAAGGTGGCAACTCGAACTGCTGCACTTCGGTGCCAAGTTCTATGTTGAATCCAGACAGACAGACAGAACGGCGACGGATAACAACTACTTAAATTCATAGGGTAGAACAGTTGTAAAAAAGCCTTATTTCAAATAACGAAACAATTTCTGAGAGGAATAGTACTTTATTTACTTCTCAAGAAAGACGACTGGAACACTTTGAGGGGAAACTTAACTAGCCTTCAGTCACGTTAAATTTCCTCAGCATACGACAGCCACCTGTATAGGATGGTCCTCCATCTGTAACTGAAGTTGCGAAAACTGTGTCTAATTTGAAACAAGAAATATCAGCAGGACTTGGTGAAATAACTTCAGAGGCACCCGAGATGGTAGTGATTAACTATTATCTTCGTTAACGGTAATGTATAGGAATCCGAGACAGTCCCGTTAGACTAGTGTAAATCATTGCTTATCTCAGTTTTCAAAAAGGGAGACAAGTCTGCCTGTGGTTAACATAAATGGACTAGCTTAACTAACATAATATCTAAAATTCCAGGTTCAACAATCACGCAAAGACTAATGGGAGCTCGAGAGGAAAAAACCCAGGAAAAGCAGACAGGCTTTAGAAGACGATATGTTGGTCATACCTTTACCCTTCGACAGATTCTGGAACGTAGACACATTTGCCGACGTCCAACAACTGGTATATTTTTTGACTTAGTTGTGGCATTAGACTGTGTCGACCGAGAGGAATCGTGTCAATACCTGGTCTTGAATGAATTGTCGATAAAGTGCATCACAGTAATCAAAGTATTCTACTCGAATTGACGCAGCTATGTAAGAGCTCGTGGAGAGTTGTCATCTGAGGTGATGACATCTAGTGGTGTTCAACACGGATGCCCAGTGTTTCCAATTTTTTTTAATTTCATTACAGATTTATGAAGGAGTGTGAGACTAATCGACTTTAACTGCTGATGGTTTGACTTGTTACCAGGTAAAAGTCCCTCAATTTACAGTATGCGACTGATGTTGTCATTCTAGGCGGAGGCGCAGTCTTCTAGATACCTCGGGCAGAAATCTTTATACGTTCGGCATTCGATTCGCACCTATCAAATGTAAGATGAAGTCATACGGTATGCTAACCACTTCGCCTATTTGGGATGTGGCATCAGTCGCAACGGACTCATTGCTGACGAAATCTCAGAATGGTACAGAAGGCTTGTGCAGCACTTGCCAACTTACGCTATCTCTGGAGAAGACGTAATATCCACCTAACCATTAAAGGATGTGTGTACCGCGCAGCAGCTCACTCTGCTCTCCTTTATGGATGCGAGACATGGCTATTGAAAGTGGAAGACATGAAAAGGCTAGCCATCTTCGACCACAGGTGTTTGAGGTGTATTTCCCATGTTAATCGGTATAATATGGTGGGTAATATTGAGGTTAGACATAGTGTTGGGTAAGGAAATTACGTCAGTCGATCAGGCTGTGAAGCTACAACGACTGAGATGGCTATGATGTGTTACACATGATGGAGCCATCACCCTCCTCATCTCATGATGTTAGCTGACATAAGATTAGGTTCGGAAGAAGTTAGGAGTGATCAAACCAAAACCTGGAATCAGTCCATGAAGTCTTTGACAGTTGGTTTGATCCACGTACGTACGTGTAGGCCACCTAGTTGGGGTCTTCGGGATTCTAAGGACCAACGGCTGGAGACTACTGGTGATGTAGCTCAATAACGTTCTTAATGTCTCAGATGCAATCAGTCCTCGTAACTTTCCATGTCCAACTCCACGCTACTAATCATTCTCCCGTTCATCTCTGCTTGTTCTAACGCTTTTGAATCTTCTGTTCTCTCTTTTGTGTACATTTGTGTGCGACGTGGTGGCAATTTGAATTACTGCACTACTGTGCTAAGTTCTATATTGAAGCTCTGTCAATCAGATTACGTAACAGTAGGACTAGAAGAATTCACAATACGACTGCATTGCACAAAAAGGTGATGATAAAGTCATACAACACGTAAGGTATTTCAGAAACAAAATAAGAAGTCAGGAAACCGTCCATCTCTTTTGATGATTCACACCATTTTCGGATTGTTGGCTGCATGCTATAAACCTTAATAATCTGTACGACTTTATCACCGCAAATATATGGACAAAAGTGACAACCTTCGTTACAATAATTAATCACTATTCATACGACAGATTAAATACAAGACGGATAGCAGTTCGGATGGATAGTAGAAGCAATAAAAATGTCAACAGTTTAATTTCAGTGGTTACCTATGGATAAGGTCAGGTAGAAGATGAGAAGCGTGGCAATAGTCAAACGTCTCCCCAACAACAAAATCGACAGTGACGATATGAAATACATTAACTTTGTCTTCACTCTCACTTCAACATCATTCGATTAATGATTAATTTACAGTCTGGAGTAATATTCATTTTTACGTTACCTAAAGTAGACTAGTGCGTCGGTTCGCAAACCACGCGAGATATCAAGATTCACCTATCAGTCAACACATCTCAAAACCACGTCTAGCACGTAGCAAGTCTGAAAAATGAAGGTTCAGCGCGAGGTTAGTAACCCCAATCGGTAAATCAATGCCACCACTGACGAAACTTCAAAGCGTGAAGTCCCTATTTTCTACTCTGAGCGTAAATAATAGGAAATAAACAGTAAATGTAGTACGAGTGGAAAGAAATTGTCCAAATAAAAAAACGACAGTGTGAAGATGAAAAGTGAAACATTTAAAGGGTAACAGAACCACCAAATAGCTATTTTTATAAAACATATTCAAAGGTGCCCATCATTTCTGAGACCGCCAAAACTTGCAGTGAACAAAGTCTAGGTTTGAAATAGCCAATATTTTGTTGGATGTAATGCTTTAAAATCATAGTAACTGTTTCAAAAGACCTACAAATTAAAACTCATAATTTACTACTTACGCGATTCAACTCGCCTCTCGGAATCCATTGTGGATGGAACAAGAGTCGCAAAGCTGACTGTCATTAATTCTGAAGTGTTTATTATGTTTTCGTCAATTCGTATGATTTTCAAAAACTAAATTTAGTAAAATATGAAATTAGTATACATTTGATAACAAGCCGAAAATTATCATATGCTTGAGATGACTGTTTTACGTACCCTTCAATAATTATATATATATATATATATATATATATATATATATATATATATATATATATATATACATAGTTACATAGTCGCTGACAATGCTCAAAACGCTTTTTAGTTTTTAAAGTATGATTATAAATACGCCACAACGGTTTAAACACCAACACTAATGTTGACTCTCATGTGCCTCCAAAGCCTCAGGATGGTCGGGGGTGGGTGCCTTGCGCTGCGGGTTGGCCACCCCTCCGTACACCTCTTGAAATGCTCCCATATGACCGTGCGTCTTACATAGCCTCTCCTGAGGAAGTCCTTCTCACTGCCTTCACGTGGCGGAAGTGTTTATTTCACCGAAGTGAGAGGGCAAAAGCGGATGCCCGGCGCTCTTCACCGGGTTGACTGTCCATTGGATGACAGTCTAGGGGAGATGGCTAAACCCTGATTCCAAACCTTCAACGACTGGCGTATGAAGCTCACCGGAGTTCACCGGCAGACGTATGGACAAAGGGCTTATTGGATGCCCTGGATGTCTGGCCCCATTCAAAAAGGCATATGAACCGGACTCCGGTCACCGGCTGCCAATGGACAGTGGACTCTCTACTCCACTCCTACTGCCTTGTAGGTCACACTTGGTTGTGTAAAGGCTAGAGCTGTTCTTTCAAACAAAAGGCCGAGCGATGCTGGGGACATCACTCGTACCCAATTCCCATGAAACTTCATCAACTCTCTTACAAACATTCGAGATGTTCATGAAGCCGGTTCATCCTCCCGTAGGAGATAGCCGAAGTAAAGTAAAGTAAGTAAGTACTCTCATGTACCACTACTATTCAGATTGACAACAATCAAAACAGTAAGTAGAAGCGTTCTACAGTTTCTGTAGAAGGTAGGTCAACAGAAAAGAAATGTCATCGAAATACTACCTAGCCTCGATTTCTCTTATATTTCATTCCCAGTACCAGTGTTCAAGATTTCAGATACAGAAATAAGTGGATCCTCTACCAAACTACTGAAAAAGAATGACTACTTCAATACCGTATCTTTTACTCCATTCAAACGATATGCTGGAGTCATATATTATTCATCAGAAAACTTAGTTATATACATACAGTTTCGTTAAGACAAGCAGTAAATAAAGCGCAGTAATATATGTAAAAGCTTGAAACTGTGCTAGTGTATAATTCGATACGCCATGAACTGGAACGAACTAACATGGTAATCGAAGATAAGACAGGTGCCAAACTGAGCGACGATATATCAATGTTGAAAATAATGGAAAAGGGATTTTGACTGACTGAAATTTCTAAACAAAATCTCTTCAACCAGAAAACACCTGGATTCCTAAAAATTATGTCAATATCTACAAAATATCAAGAGAAGTATGACCAGTATTAAACGTGTCACGAAAACTTGTGGCAACCAATCACTTACTTTATCTAGATAAGGTACTACTAATATGCCACCGATTTTGAGAAGGCGAAGTATAGATCGTAATTGTGCACAACTAGTAACGGCAGCACCTACATATATCCGATCGTAGACTGGCCATTGTGGTATATCACCATCTAAAGAAATTTGCCAGAAATTACACTATGAAAACTGAACATGCGGAAGAAACAAGTGCACATAAAAGTAACTTATTAATCTTACATACACATTGAGAACGGATAGTACAACATGTGCATTTGAATTTAGCGATTATAACACTTACTTCGCTCATTGGGTGAAGAACTATCTGAATGAATGAGAGGAGGCAGGTCAACAAAAATATCTCCCCACCTTGTCGGATCAAAATCACTCTCATTCTCATCGTCATTTCGATCATCATTTCCATTGATTTCACCGTCAACCATTGCCCCCATTCCATTTTCTGATGAACGACCTTGTCTTTCTTCGGAAATGGGGCCATTTGATGAATTAAGCAAACTGTTATTTAACAGCTGACTATCCGAATGATTCCGAATTATTTCAGGTTGAGGCACTTCAGAAGACCGTGGAAAAACATCGGAGTTTGTACTTGCCCGCTGATCCAAAGGAGCAAATAAATCTAGAATATTTCCGTGCAGGAAGACTGGGGGACAGAATGGACGTTCAAATGGTGCATCACACTCAGACATAAAGGTCTCCAATTGTTGACGTGAAAAGCTGACATTGAAATCATTGACCTCAATACCATGATTAACTCCGTTATATCCTATAAGAAAACACATTTACATATACATGTTGTACAAATATAACAAAGTAGCTTTGCAACTCAAACCTAACTTGGACGGTGACTCTAAATATGATCAATAAAATATATGATTGTTTGATAGTATGTATAGCTTTAAATATATGTTCGACGAATATGGAATCTTCCGACTACGGCAAAACTCTTAGGTACTGATTATTAGTACCAATATTTGGGAACATGTAAGACAGTTCTAATTGTAATGATATTTATTTGATGGGGTAATGATTATAGATGACAGAAAACATGGGTTAAAATGGAATCTAAAGGACAGATTTTATTAGCGTACATGTAAAACATGGGATACATAGCCCATATATATGTGTATATGTTATCTCACCAGTAACCTAGAGGAACAGAGGTTCGGTAGACCCCGGTCTTCCTCTCCGACGTGCTTTCATATCTCTACATGCATGGTTGTCATCATGTAGACACTCAGAACCAATGGTTTGAGACTTTTGGTGACGTGGCTCGAAACCGTTATCAATAATACAGATGCATTCACTCTCTATGAACTCTCAGACTTATAACTCTCATTACTCTCTGTAGATTTACTCTATTTCTGCTCATTATGGTTTCTTATTCTCTACCTTTGTGTGCTAATATGGAGTGTGTTAACTTCAAATGGTGTACCTTTGTGGAAGGTTTTACGTTGAAAACTCAGTCAGTGAGATGTGAGACTGAAAACAGTCTATGCCACCTTCGGAAGCTATGATCAGTCACTTATGTTTAATTTCCATCAAATAATCGCTGAAACATGCATCTTTAACAATAATTTATCTCCTTGGTTTAGACTCGTCGGAATAGTAGCTCCTTGAACCCATGAATTTCGGTGCAGTATTTACGCTAACCCTTCAGTCACCTCTTTTATTTAAAAAGAATGAATGATTTCTTTCACTATGAGAGGTCAACGTAGCGGCTTTTGATTGCCATTTTACGAAAATCCACAGAATTTAGCAGAACTGTATGTTTCAATTACAAAGGCATTATATTGGTAGGCTTCTTAGTCTACGTACCTATGAAAAACCAAAAACAGACAACTATAAACCCAAACAAACGATGTTTAAAGTCTATCCAGCCCCAGAAAACATGAACAACTCACCCAGTAACAATCCGATTACTGTGCTAAGGTAACCTGTTCCGCTACCAATATTCAAAAAGTAGTTTCCGGGCTGTATATCCAAATTCTTGAGCGCCACAAAGTAGATACTTGGTGCTGAAAGATGGATGGTATCCGATCTATAGGCTAAGTCCACATAAGCCCTCGTGCTATTTTCATCAATATAGCGGCCTCTATCAACTAAGCGCAGTGCACGCTCAGTTTCTAGATTGAGTCTCAAACCGCTTTGTACCAATTCATCAATAAGTGACTGGTAATCTCGCCCACGACTAATACGTCCTCCCATATTCGGGTAAGACAAACACCGACTCCAGGGTGAACTTAGGATCCAGTTTATATTTGGCGCAATGTTTCAAGGTTGTTGTTTAGAGGTTTCGCTAAACGTCGTTGCGAAAGCTAATTCCATTGATATTACCCTCCTACTATCCCGTCCTGCTCGTTATAGCAGTATTTCAACAGTTCGTATGGAATATAAACCTTGCAACCAATATGCTAGAAAATTGCCGCAGTCAGATCCCATGACGTTGAAGAAAGAGTTCAAATCTATCCAGAAGGCATATGCCAGTGTAGTTGAAGAATGAAACATCAATTCATGGTTATTTACTCAAAACCAATTCCATATTTTGGCGGGAATCGCCGATACTGCAGACATCTTTCAATCGTACGCTGTTCGTTAGAAGACGGAGAAATACTATCAGAAGTATCATTGTGATTATTTGTTATGACATTTATTCTTCGACATTTTTAATTATTATATCCTTTAATTCCTAAAGGGATATAGGGCTTCAGCCACGCGTCTCCATTGCGTTCGGTTCTCTGCTAGAGTTTTCATGCCGCTCCAAGTGTGCCACATGCTTTCATCTCCTCTTCACACGACCTCCTCCATGTCACCCTTGGACGACCAACTCGGCGCTTCCCCTTCGGGTTCCACTCGAGCAATGCCTTGTCTACTGATGATGAGGTTGTTGCTTGCAGGTTCCTTCCACTTATGCTGATTGTTGTCTGTTGTTGGTGCTGTTTCTGTTAGCGAAGCACCTTCATCACCTCTGTTTTATCTATGTTCAACTGAAGTCCTATCTTCTGTGGATGCTTCTTCTGCCAGCTTGTTGCTTTTCACTTGCATATCTTCCAGCTTGCGGGGAATCAGACCTATATAGTCAGTGAAGTGGACATCCTCCAAGTATTTTGTGTGGGTCCATTTTTGATGTCTGTCTCCTCATCGCTCGTTCTCTATCTGTCGCATTATCCAATCTACTGCGATCAGGGAGATTATTGGCGATAGTTGACAGCTTTGTCGCACTCCCGTCCTCACTTCGAAGGCTTCCGTGAGTTTCCCGTTGTGGATTACTTGGCATGCAACATTGTCGCATAACTGTTGGGTGAGATGTATAATTTTGGATGGCACCCCGTAGTAGCGGAGTATTTGCCAAATGACCTTTCGATCGACGCTGTCGAAGGCCTTTTCAAAGTCGATGAAGTTGAGATAGAGAGGTGACAGCCATTCCAAGTTTTGTTCAATGATGATCCGTAGAGTGGCGATTTGATCAGTACATGACTTGTTTCTCCTGAATCCAGCTTGTTCCGGTCAGAGTTTTTCATCCAGGGCTTGTTTGATTCTTTCCACGGTGATGCGGCTTAGTATTTTGCTTGGAATGGACAGTGGCATAATTCCGCGCCAGTTTTTGCATTGACTTAAGTCTCCTTTCTTTGGTAGTTTGAATAAGTATCCTTTCTTCCAATCCTCGGGTACTTTGCCCTCTTTCCACACCTTCTCCAGCAGTGGCGTTATCAAGTCCGCTGTTGTCTCTGGGTCAATTTTCAATGCTTCTCCTGGGATTCAATCTGGTCCTGCTGCTTTTCCAGCTTTTAGCATCTTGATTGCATTCAGAACTTCCGATTTTGTCGGGGGTCGATGTTCACCGGTAGTTCTGCTTCCGTTTTTGGTATTGTTGGGCGCGTTGTAGATGGTGGACGATTTAGAAGTCTTCTGAAGTGTTCAGCCCAGAGTTTCCTTTGCTCCACTTCCTTGGTGATTGGCTTTACATTGTCATCCTTTACTAGCTTAATCTGTGCTGAACGTTTGCCCGAAAGGTGCCTAGTTGTTTGGTAGAGTGTGGTGAGGTCTCCTTTGCCTGCAGCTTGTCCTGCTTCACTTACCATGGTTTCATAATATTTTCTTTTGTCTTCCATGGCACTCTTCTTCACTCTTTTGTTCAGCGTATTGTGGCTTTCATTGAACTCCTGTTTTTGTTGCTGGTCGGTGCACTGGATAATCTTTTGTTTCACCGTCCTTCTCTCTTCTATTAGTTTCCAAGTGTCCGCAGTGAACCACTGTTTATCCTGTCTCTTCTTTCTGCCTAGAACTTTCATGCAGGTTTGACTCTACACCGTTTTCAAGTTGTTCCAGTGCTTTTCGACGCCGACCTCTTCGCTAGTGTTGATTTGCGTCTCGGCTTTGTCCTTTATTCTTGCAATGAAGATGTCCTTTGTAGTCTGGTCCTTGAGTTTATGACTATTGAACTTGGCTTGTGGTCTATCTGCAGCTCCCGTTTTCCCGAAAGTCCTTGATTTGATTTGGAATGTCCCTTGTACGAGACAGTGGTCTGAGCCAACGTCTGCTCCTCTTCTTATTTTTGTGTCCAGTAGGCTGTGCCTCAAATTCCTTGAGCAGCATTGTGATGAAGTCAATTTGGTTTATGGTTTGCCCATCTGGTGACACCCATGTAGCCCTGTGAATATCTTTGTGTTTGTATACGCTGCCACCAATCACTAGTTGGTTGAAGGCGTGGAAGTCGGCGAAGAGTTCTCCATTTTCATTTACCTCTCCGAGAGCTTCTCTACCCATGATGAGTTCCCTTCCTGTGTTATCTGGTCCCAGTTTGGCGTTCATGTCTCCCATTGGTATTTTAATGTCACCAGCTGGAGTATTGTCCGTTGTTGCCTGTAGTTGTCTGTAGAATTCTTCTTTCTTTTCAAGGTCTTCGTCGTTTGTGGGTGCATAACATTGTATGATTGACACTTTCCTTCCTTTGGAGTTGAATCTGGCGGTCATTATCCTGGACGGGATTGTCTCCCACTGCATTAGGGCCTTTGTTGCCGTTGGTGACATCATAATAGCCACGCCCTCAGTGTGCGTGTGGTTATCTTCTGGGTGACCGGAGAAGATACCTGACTCACTCGTTGACAATTTGGTGGGTCCACTCCCGTTCCATCTGCTTTCACGTATCCCCAGTGCTTGAATTCCGCACCGTTTCTTTTCGTTTGCTATCTGGGCAGCTTTACCAATCTCGTACATAGTGCAGACGTTCCATGTCCCCACATGGACTTTTTGTTTTGGCGCAAGTATATTCATCGTGCTGAAGTTTCTGTACCAATTTGTTTACAGAGTGGGGTTGGTTGCCTCACACCTGAGAAAGGATTGTTACATTAAGATATAGGTTAGAGAGAAGCGACCTTGTGGGTTGCTTCCCCTAAAACCCCAAAAAATGAATAAACAATCAGAACAACACCAGCAAAAGGAAAATAATTCACAGCAAAAAGTGCGACAAGTGACAACAACAATAAAAACGATACAGTTAAGCAAAGTTAACCAAAAATTTACCGTTTCATAGACATGACTTGGGCTCATATGTGAAAGGTTATTATCTTAGTTGGAATAAGGACAAGTTGTTCAGAAGGTACGGAAGACTTCATTTTTCAGATTATTCGTATAGATGCTATCGCGTATTTATTGGCATTGCGATTCCATATGAAGCAACAAATTATGGATTCCTTGCACCTCTCACCTGCATAAGAAAGTTAACAACACAGAAACTACTTCAGAAGACTCTGTATTAAGTTCCCTAGGGACAAACAGTCCTCCCACTTCAATGTAATGAGTTAATTTGTTAGCTGTGTAGGCTTTTATAGTAATACATTTGGCAAGGAGACTTCATAGCGAGATCAAAAGTGTACATATTTTACTAAATATTATTCACTTCCTGTATGGATTTTATGCTTGTCAAGTGGTCATCTAATAATTGCTGAGTGTCGCAATCCAGCCAGAAGTAAAACTCGTAATTGTAGGAATTGTTGTCAATTTCTTTGGCAACATTTCACAATCTGTAGAGTGTACACGACCACAATGCCCATTTCTCACTTTACTGAGGAAACATTAACTGAGCTTTTGAAAAGGTAGTGCGCCATTTTGTGAATTTCACGAATTCTACAGATTGCGTTCTATCCACTCAGTGCTGAAACCAGACTATAGGGATATTTATATTTCCAAGAAGGATGTAATACAAGGCTCATTTCTACAACTGTTGTCCTTATTTTAGTTTACTTTCCTCATACGCATATTGATAGCATTCTCTGTCATTGACTTTAGGGACTTATCAGAGGGGAGTCTCGTCAAATAGGAGTATTCTGATGACACTGTCCACCTACGTTGTGAGAAGTGACCAATGAAGCTGGCAGATATGAAGAAACTTCAGGGGCTTGATAGTGGTTGCCTGTGTCTATCCTCTGTGTTAAGTAGTGTAGCGGTAAATAATTCTCCAAAATTATTAACCACAGCAATCACTCATCATTGGATGCTGACCACCACTGTTTAAGTCGACTTGTTTAGCTGAAGGCTTCCGGTCAAGCATCCCCACCATTTGGTACTCCGTCGTGTCACGTTCGTGCACGATCACTAGCCAGTTAAGTAATCTGCATGCAAATCGTTTTGGTCCCAAAATATGTATCGTAATTTGGACAACCACTTCACCTGTTTTGCTTTGCATATGGTCCACGAGAAACGAATACTGTGGAAGTTGTTGGAATAAGATTTCGCGTTTGTTTTCTCCGTACAGTTCGTGAACGTCATTACTATCAGCCTCTAAACTGGTGAGCCTAACCGCTAACTTCATCTACGATAAATACGCAGATAACCCCGGTGAGTTCGTTCCATTTTGTATTTGTTCTTGTACCATATATTATTCGACATAATTTTCGTCATGAGTGATCTTAGTCCCAAGGTCATCCGTATCCGCTCAACTCCTAAAACCATTCAGCTCGTACCATACTGGCCAGATAATGCTGAAACGTGGTTTCTGCTAGCTGAAGCAGATTTTTGTGAGCATGGGATAACCGATCAACGTTCACAGTTACTTGCAGTTATTCACGCCCTACCGCGGGAATTCAGCAAGTACGTAACATCACAGATGTTCAGTCCCGAGGTAAGTAACTCGTACGAGTTGCTGAAAGCATCCCTCCTCAGGAGAAACGTTCTCACGGACCGACAACGTCTAGATGAATTATTTCGTA